AAAAAAAAAAAAACAAACATGTGTGCCAAACACCAACTTGAAATGACAACAAAACTGACACAATTGAATTAGGGTCTACTAATGTGTATTAGGCTGGTGTGTATTTCACGGGTTTGATGAAAACCACCCTAACACACACAAACATAATAAATATGGATTAAATAATACAGAATGATAAAAATGAAATTACAGAAAATTTACAATATTCAAATTTACAATAATAATATTGTGATGATTATGCAAATTACAGAGGATGTTTTATTATAATTCAGTTTTGTTATCCAAAAGGAAACACAATCCAAAAAGAAACCACAGTGCTTATGGCTTTTCACTCTCTTTTCTGTACTAAATATTTTGTAAAAAAAATCTGATATATATATTTATTAACATCAATTGTATCCTATTTCAAAAAAAAGGAAAAAAAAAAAAAAAAAAAAAAAAAAAAAAACCTCGGTCGTAGATACGAAGCCCGAGGCCGAAATGACATGGATTGAAGCTGGTTATTGGTTTTGTGTATTTTACTTACAAATGCCACGTTTCTTTGCTAAACAACAACTGCACCAAGGCCTACACACAGTGCAGCATCCCTTCTTCAGTTTTGAATTCATTTCTTCGTTTGCCGACTTCGCTGAACCAACAACCATCGAAATAACTATCGCCACCAAAAAGAACACCTTGCCTTTCATCTTTTAAAAGTTCACTACTTTGAAGGCGCAAAGTCCTGATAATATGAAGGAAGAAGAAGAATTAGAAGACTGCTAAACAAGAGGTCCATAGGTTGATCCTCGGAGACCTCACGGAGGTCCATAGTGTGATATTTAGTGACCTCACACACGCGTTTTAAGGACGAAGTGTGTACTGCCTGTTTACTTACTTGCTGTAGATCTTTTTGTACAACAACGAAAGTATACCTTGGTGAAAGGTTTGGAAGTGATTATAAGATACTGATCAAATAATAACACCAGTTTAAGAAAGCAAATTAAAGATATACACTCACCAATGATCATGAACAGCCAATCAGCAACTGCCTTGTCGGTGTAATGTCSCCCATCTCCAGCTGGGATGTGATTGGTCGAATCACTTGAGTCGGTGTAATGTTAWCCATCTCCAGCTGGGATGTGATTGGTCGAATCACTTGAGTCGGTGTAATGTTAACCATCTCCAGCTGGGACGTGATTGGTCGAATCACTTGAAACACAAATCAATGGGGCACTTTAGAAACTAGCAACAGACTGGGGTAAGTTTTCAATTTTAATCTAAATAGAAAAAAATTGATAGAGTGCAAACAATATAACCGTGAAACTTTAGTGATACTAAATAGTGCAATCTTATGCAAATTCTATTGTTATCTATTGTTTAATTAGCACTATTTAGTAATTAGTGTTTCACGGACTTTAATGTTTGCACTCTATTGTTTTGTCAATTGATAAAGCACCTCATTATAAGTATGTCTGTGAAATTTGAACGCGTTTCGTTGAAAGGAATCAGGACTTTTTTAAGCTTTAAAGGTGTGAAAATGTGTTGTCCCTTGTGACCATACATTCTATGTAAATTTTCGACACTATCAATCGGGAATAACATCAGTTTATCTGAAGTAGAGGAATTTTTAGAATATTTTGACGTCGGCTAGCTCGTTCCCATTTTAGTAAAAATATCAATCGTAAAGAACTATGTTAAAACAGCTCTATTTGTGTAATTAATTTTTATTTTATTTTCTTGTCGGAAGCGACACGAGTAAAAAACTTCTGCGCATGCACTAAATGCGTATGCAAATTAGTCGAAACGTCTTCCTGTTTTTGTAACATGTAAACTTGACTTTCATGCCTGATAAATGGACTTCACAAAATGCATATAAATAAACTTATTTATATTAGAGTCAATTATTTATATTAGAGTCAATGCTTGAAATTCAAGGCTAATTCTTTCGCAATTGTCTTTTTACGATACAGTATCTTGGTCTCACAAAAGTATATAAAAAAGAAAAGTATAATTAGTTATAAGTATAAGTATAATTACCGCGACCTAACATCTATTTCACTAAGCTGCTCTCAGTCTGAACTCTAGCTCAGCTGGTAGAGCATCGGTAATGCAATTCCGAAGGTCGTGGGTTCGATTCCCAGCGAGGTCGGAAATTATTTTTTCAGAATTTAATTCCAAGGGTCTTTCGCCCGGAATAACCTCGTTCCCAAGCACTATAACTTATCTATATTTCTATGTCTTCATATAATTTTTTAGTATACTCCGAGAAAACAAACGTTCACTTTCTCACTCAAACTCTTTTAATTCTTAGAATATGTACTGAAACAAGACACGCATACGCAAATGTTTTTCTCTAGTGTCTACTTCAGTGATCAGGAGTAAGCACAGAACTCTGATTGATAGCAAGGTTTGAAAGCATGATTTTCATTGATTATATTTCACTTCCAGTAAACTGCGCATGCGCCAAAAATGGATCATGTCAGAGTCCTCGCCGCAGTCCAAAAGAAGCGCAGGCTCTGGGTGCCAGATTTTGCAAAATTTCGGAAAAGAATCACTAGTTATGAATGATAAAATAAAAATCACAGTATAAAATCTGAAAATTCGGCGTAAAAAAACGCCTACGATCCGTGCGATCCAGCCAACCGAAGTCCAGTCCATTCCACCTACGTATGGTTCCAGATTTTCCAAAATTAAAAAACACTCAAAATTCGGGCATTTAGAAGATAAAAACAAGTTTTCGAAGTTGGGCATGTTTTTACTATACGTTAAGATTATCCATGGCCATTCAAAAGGTGAAAATAAAAAAAAAATTTTTGTGAATCAATCTCCAGTCACTGACTAAGGCTCAGTCACTTGCAATCCATTTCAGTCAAAACCAATCCATTCCAGTCACATGCAATTTATCTCAATAGCATCTTAATAGAGAAATATTAGCCGTAAAAATCTGTAACGATCGACAGAGCCACCTATAGACACATTATGTATACAGTCCTTTGAAACCTTTGCCGATGACCGGCTTTTACAATAGGAATTAAACCAGTGCCGTGATCAAAACCAACCTATTGAAGGCGGTATCCCTTCTATAGAGTAAAAACCTGACTAAGTACAAATTCCTTATAAGTATTCCTTGATAGTATGTATTTAAGAGTCGAACTTGTTTTACCGTCCGCGAGTTGTCTGATACGATTCTTATCCACATCCATGTAGGCACCTTTCAATTGATTTGTTTTTCAATTTATCTGACCAATCACAGCCCAGGCGGTGGGTGACATACGTCACGATCACAAAAATCGAAATATTCTAACGAGGCAGTTGTTCTTATAATGACATCCTAGGAAAACTTCAGGAAAATAAAGACTAATGAGATGACGAAATATCAGAACACTTACCGGATGTTGAGGTGCCTCTTTTCAATTTCACCCCCTCCCCCCCCTTCCCACGACGATTACGTTTTCCAGGTTATCCATGCTGTGACGTCGAGGGCTATTGATCTGCGTGATCGTTGACATGATTGTCCCTCAGACATTCGTGCTAGCTGCAGCACGTACCGTTACTCTCTGCAYCATTTAATTAATAATTTATCTAATTTATTTATACATTTTAATTATTTTCACATAGAATTTTAAGGATTTTTTCTATAGGTAAGGATTTTTTCCATAAATGTATTGACTTTCAAGACTTACGAATTTCATATAGTTGTGCGTTGGGTCACGATCACTTGACGTCATGCAATCACGTGACATGGCACACCCCTAACATGCCTGCCATTGAGGACTGCTGACCAGCCAATGACCGAACAAATAAATTTGACCGGCTGCTTGTGGTTCGCAGATAACGTAATATTTGCTAAGGGAAAAAGTAGAGTTTTTCTGAGCTTGTTGTTTTGAACGGCTTTGAGTTTTTTTCTAAATCGAATCGCATTTAAAGGGAACTTGGTTCTATTTGAAATATATTGAAATATGGCTTCGTTTGGTTTGGAGAAAAAGACAAAAATCCCTCCACCAGAGCAATTGCTGAAGCCATTATGGCCGCATCCAAAGTTTCTCTTTGGGCCAGGACCGTCGAATCCTAACGCTCGAATCTACAACGCGTCGTCCTTGCCGATGTTGGGGCACTTCCAGACGGAGTTTCATCACATCCTAGATGAAATTCAGGCTGGTCTTCGTTATGCCTTCCAAACAACCAACACATACACGATCGTGTTTACTGGAGCAGGGCATACCGGCATGGAAGGAGCTATGATGAATATTGTGGAAAGAGAACAGAAAATTCTGATCTGTTTGAATGGGATGTGGGGAATGAGAGCTAAAAACATCGCCGAAAGACAAGGTAAATTTAAATTAATTCTTACTAAACAGCCACGTGTCATAAATTCCTCGCACCTGTTTGCTACCACAGCATTTATAGCCTATTTATCTTACTATAAAACCCCTAAACAGAACCAATATCTTCCATACTTCGTTCCATTTTAAAAAAAATTTCTAGTGAGGAAAAACAAGGAATTAGAAAAAGCCATATTAACGTCCCTTCCGGCGCGTAAACTATAGACAACAAACTGGTTTATCAGGTTTTTGAGCTTGCACTTTAAATGGTTGCCATGCATGTTTTCATTTCATAAATTGCTTTATAGATTTTTATTGTAAATGATTCATTTTGTGAGCTAGAAATATTAAGCATGACTTCAAAAACAGCTGTCTACCACAAAATGATAATGCTTCGTAAAATTCATTACGTGAATGAATTTTATTATATATATATATTTTTTACAATGGTTTAGGAGACGTCTATTGTGTCAAACTTGTGACTAAAAAAATGTTCTTTTTGAATCCTCAAAAACTGTAAATTGTTCTAAGCGGTTATTCTTCAGATACGAAGTCTTAATAAGATATTTGTTATTCGTTTACTTTGTGAATAGATTAAGAAATAGTATAAATATTTCGATATCCTTGTACATGTATGCATATTGTCGTAATTTGTTGTAAACATCACGTAGCGACCGACGCTTTGCCAAAGGTCACGCATTTTATAACACTTGTGTATATCAAGGAAAGAAATTTATTTTCAAAATCACTCATATGTGAACAGTGTAGTAGTATGGTGGCAGTATTTTTGTATGTGGACCTCTCTTTTCAGAGATATAAACATCTGAAATATCAATATGCAAATGAGATGACTTAAATTCAAGAATGGGTTGCATTTTACATAGTGTAATTTACGACAAGTGTTCTGAAGTGAAATAACCTAAAAGTGTACAAAGCCATATATTTCAGTTATAAGGATTATTTGCAAATAACCCAAAACAGCAGTACTTTCCACAAAAGCATTTTTGTATAATAAATTAGTCTTGAATTTAGGTCATCTCATTTGCATATTGATATTTCAAATGTTTATATCTGCGAAAAGAAAATTTGACATACAAAAATACTGCAACCATACTACTGCACTATTCACATATAAGTGATTCTAAAAATTATTATTTTTTCCTTGATATACACTATAATGGAAAGTTAGTTTTATATATTTTTATTTTTGATATTGTCTTATCTGCCATTGTTTATCTAAATATTGAATAAATATATATTATACGTTAGAAGTGAGTTTATCATAAAAAAGTGTAATATTAAACTTGAATAAAAACTAGGACGTTCTTGGAATATCCAAAAATAGCTGGTTTGACATATAGCTCTTAAGGTGGTGTTACGAGAGACAATTCATAATGGCAATTATTGCTTGCGCAACAATGTTGCTCAAAAAAATTATTCTCATGTAGAATGGTGAGTGGTTACGATTTATGATATTTTATTGTGGCAAGATGTTGCAGGCTTTTGAACAACCTTCAAAACTTATAAAATTGTTGGTACAAATTTGTGGTGTTGTGTGTGCCATGTTTTGCACAAACTTCTAACTCAAATTCAATGATGATGCACTAAAAATCCTCTTCTGTAACATCACACTTAGTCTCATTTATAAAATCATAACTATAATTGTGCCGCCATGTAACTAGATAATTTTAAATATATTGCATAACTTCTATATAGAAATATAGATAAGTTATAGTGCTTGGGAACGAGGTTACTCCGGACGAAAGACCCTTGGAAATAAATTCGGAAAAATTAATTTCCGACCTCGCTGGGAATATTAGTGTACTAACTATGTCACGGCTGAAGTAAAACTATTCTAAGATCTACCATCCACTATTAGTCTACTAATACTAAATTTCTTATGTATTTCATGCAATAGGTCTAGATGTAAGAGTAATAGAGAAGCCTGCTGGTGAGGCCTTCACTTTGGAAGACATCAAGAAAGGTCTAGAGGAACATAAACCAGTTGCTATGTTCATTACACACAGCGAGTCATCAACTGGTGTGTGTCAACCTTTGGAGGGTGTTGGTGCACTTTGCCACAAGTAAGACTAAACAAACATTTTTTTGTTTTCTCAAAAACTTATTTCCAAGGGGTGGGGAGGGTCTGAGGAGGGTATATTGTGTAGTTCCAGAAAATTAAGATTTACATGGTTATAATCTCTCACAAAAGAGATAATTTTGGATTGTCTGTCAGATTTTAAGTGTGTGTTTTGTTGATTGTAAGGTATGACTGTCTTGTAATTGCTGATACTGTAGCCTCTCTTGGTGGAACACCTTTCTTCACTGATGACTTAGAGTTAGATGTTGTATATACAGGATCACAGAAAGTCTTTGCCTGTCCACCAGGCATTTGTCCCATTACATTCAGTCCAAAAGCAATGTAAGTAAATATAAAATATATATAAATAGAATAGGTTTAAAAAAATAAGTATTCTATGTAACAGTGGGATTTGGAATTTCCAAGCAGTGGGAAGGGTCTGAGGAGTGTATATTGTGTAGGTCCAGAAAATATCCACACCTCCTCCACAGAGGGGGATTGGAATTTCTAAGGGGTAAGGAGGGCGTGTGTAGGGTATATCATGTAGTTTCAGAAATTATCCATTCCTCCCCCACAGAGGGGATCAAGATTTTCTAACTTGCATAGGTAAAGAGTGATATTTACTTGTTTTTTAACTGTTGTTGTTATAGTGAAAGAGTCAAGAATAGGAAAACACCAGTGCCCTCATTCTATCTTGACATACTCGAACTTGGAAACTATTGGGGATGTGATGGTCAACCACGCAGGTATTAAATTCTACATTCTATATTTTACTATTTATTTTCTGGTTTTTAAGTGTTAAACCAGAAGATAAGTTGTAATTACCTCACAATATATTTATATGTGCTGCCCTTAAAGTGCTACTCTGACGAAAATCGCTCAAACTTGGATTCAGCTGACACTTACTAAGAATACTCTTTAAAGGTCCAATAATCACTGTATGAAGTGTTTTCTCGATATTCAGGATGAAAGTCTAAAATGAGTCTGTCCTCCCTGCAAGCAAAAATGATTCAACATACTTGCTAGCTGGCTGCAAGATCTTTCAGTGATGAGTGGAGAATAGACTTTAGGATAAATCAGTACCAAGTTATTGGCCTTGATGTAATGTTATTTGGCTTGTAATATATAAAGTACCTTGTGTATGACTGTGAATTAATTATAACTTTTTATTTCCTAGATATCATCACACTGCTCCTATCAACCTTCTCTACACTTTAAGAGAAAGCCTTGCAATGCTTGTTGAGGAAGTAAGTCATTACTAAATTAATCAATAATATCAATATTTATCATTTAACTTCCACCCCACCCCACCCCTGTCTTGGTCACATGATTTTATATAACTATTAATATTTTTTTATTCATATATGTTTTTGTTAGGGTCTAGAAAATTGCTGGAAGAGACATCATGACAACATTGAAATTTTCTGGGCAGGAATTGAAAAGATGGGACTAGAAATGTTTGTCAAAGACAAAGTAAGTGTAATGTAGCCTTTAAGGGAAGCACAGGTGGCGTGTGCTGCTAATGAGCCACCTCTCACCAATGCAACCCGGGTTCAAGCTCTGCCGGTCTCGGTGTCGTATGTGAGTGGAGTCGTTCGTAGGTTCTCTCCTGTGCTTTGAGGGTTTTTCCTCTGGGTTCTCCCGTTTTTCCAACCTCCACAAAAATCAACTTCTAAATTCTAATTCAATCTACCGGCTGCCTTATCAATTGGGTCGCAACGCCTGCTAGGCATTAAGCCGTCCACCTAGGAGTGGTAAACGTATTAGACCATCTTTAATAGTAAGATTGATTTGTTAGATAAACGCAACATGACAGCTGTTTCAATTCGTTATGTATATATTGAGGGTTTTTGAGTTGTGTATATATTTGCACCCCACGAATAATCATGACATTCTTTGAGTTAATCATTCTTTTACTTACACAATTGTGTAGAATCTGAGGCTTCCGACTGTGACAACCATCAAGATTCCAGAAGGATACCCAGACTGGAAGGCCGTAGGGAGTTATCTAATGGAAAAGTAAGTAGATTTCTCTTAATGGCATGCGAGGCTAACATGGAAAGACAAACTTACAAAAGCAAACTTTTTGTAGATGGAATATTTCACAAATTGGAGTTCCTGTTTGATATAAAAAGTCATTGTGCACTGCTTGCACAACACACTTGTTCCAGATGGCATCCTGCCAAGATTAGTTTTATGACGTGGTGTCAGAAGTGGGATTTGGACCCACATTTCCATTCAGAGACCAGAACTCCAAATTTCTCCATACCTCAGTTAAATATTTTAGGCACTGCAGAAACCCCTTCTTAGAAGGGACTGGATCATGCATATGTCATATATTGGAGTTCTTGTATTTTAAATTCATTGTGCGCATAATGATGGCATAATCCTGTTTCAAGTGATTATATGGCAATTCTCCTGTATTTCCTTGCATTCTACTCAATAATTTTGAGAAGGGTCTACTAAGTTGTCAATATAATTTTAAATTACATCCATAATAATAGGATGTGTTACATGTAAATTCTGCTGATATTTTGTACTTTCATTCTTAACTAATATAATATATCGTCTCTTGTTTATAGGTATCACTTTGAAATTGTTGGTGGTATGGGTCCTACAGTTGGATTGGTACGTAATATAAGACTAAGCTTGTCCATTTATTGACTTTGTTAACAACAACAAGGGGGTTGGCATTAGATCACTAACCTTTGACCCATATGACTGGGATAAGTAACCCTCAAGTCAATGTCTGAGTAATTTTTTGGGCCCCCCCAATAATTTCACAACTTTTTTTTAAACAAACGTGCAGCTAAATTTCAAACACTATTATCTTAAAATTGATAGAGGCGACTCATTTTTCCCAAAAAAGTTCACATAGTTGGCATTTGTAAATGATGAAAACTCAAAACAAGAAGAAAAGCACATACTTGAAAGAAACCATTATTATTTGCATTTAGAAATTCGTGTCTGAACCTTGTCGATTTCATTCTTGGCTTCTTTTATATATTCATGAGGTTGGGATATTTCAGTTGCAAGTTTCTTGTTGAGTAAGATGTCAAGAGAAACTGGTCTTTTTGCACATAAAATAAAGAATTTTAATTATTAATTATGCTGTTTTGTAAAGTTGATAAAAGTTGATACGGTCATATGGGGCGTGGCATAATGAGCCCCCCAATAATTTTACCCCTGCTACGGGCCTGTTTTATGTGCTCTGCACTCTTTGTATGGTTTCCTGGGTTTGGCTCCTAAAAAAGGGGGATATTACTAGTGCAATTCTGTCCCTCTCTTTCCCATCCTTTCATTAACACAAATAGATTGAATGAATCATATTAACGTGGACTGTACCACGCCACTACTAGCAGCTAGATCACATTTAAAAGGAAATTAATTATAAAAATATAAGCACTTTATTACCTGACTAACTTTTAAAAGACTTAATATGTAACTTAAGTAATCGAAGAAATTGTTAGAATAGAAAAAGGGAATGTTAGTGTTTTTATTTCTTTTGGCATCCAAGTCACGTCACGACTGCCCATTTTGGATGAATTTAACAAAAATTTACTATAATTGAGTGTTATTACTTAGTTTATCGTTATAATAAATCTTTAGGCTTTTAAAAAGCACCACAGACGCTGAATGAGTAGAATTTTTTTACAGTCTAGCTATAAACTTATTAATAAGCACTGAGAGGGTACTTGGATAGCTCGGGTTCATCATTTCTAGATAGCTTAGTTAAAAAAGCATGACAAACTTAACATAATATCTGTCTGTCTGTCTGATGCGCACAGTATGTAAAATAATTTCATGTTAAGTTAAACAAAAACACTTCAAATTGCAAAGAAGTTAACACCTTTTCATTTTCTTTATGTCATGTCGGCCATTTTGAATTTATCACGTGACTAATCCCTATCACGTGAGTCTAGAAAAACGGTGAAAAATGGCGGGAATTATATATGTATATGTATATTTATATATATATATTTTTTCGTTTCTAAAAAGTGATAAAATTGTCTTCAAAATACTATGAATATGGAATTTCATGTAGGTAAAGATCAAGTTTAGGAAGTCGGATTTTTTCTGCTTATTTTAATCTTTTTAAACTGGTTTACCCATAGGTGTGGCGCATTGGCCTCATGGGGTTGAATAGCCGAAAGGAAAACATCCCGTCCGTGCTGCGTCTTTTTGAAGAAGCTTTCAATCATGTCAAGGCAGAAAAGTGAATCTACTCGCTTCAGCCTCAAGTCTCCGCTCTTTATAGCGTGTGTTTGACTTATAGACATTAATTAAGCTTATTTTTAGTTGGAATGGGTTCTTAGGACCAAAGTTTTAAATATTAGGGAAAATTATTTTTTATGAATAAGAAAATGATGAGGGACATCTTACTAAGCAGGAAATGAGTAATTTAATATTAGAATTTCATTTATGATTAATGGATTACAATAGATTGATTGATTCAGAGGAATTTTGGTGTGACATATTTAGCTCCAAGTTATAAAATAGAAATAAATTCTGTAGTAAAATAGTTAAATAAATTCTAGATAAATTTCAGGGGAAAAAAATTATATCACAATAGTTTTAAAAGGTTCCATAACTTATTTTGGTGTATATATATTATATCTTATTAGTTGTAGGTACAAAGTTTTTAGGTTGAAAACTGTAAGGTGTATATTTTTAAGTAGTTTACATTTCAAAAACTTCTCAACGATCAATCACGTGATAATTTAAGATGCAACTCACTTCTGGGTTGGCTGGATTCCAGAGTATACCGAGTGACCTCAGATATATGAGAGATTCCTCGCGTAAAACGAAAAAATTAAAAAGTGTATAAATTTTATTACATTTTCTGTTATTCTAAGTTTGCTAAGGTTATGGTTTCAAAAATTGTTTCTTTGTTATTTAAAGTGGAATAAAAATAAATTATTACAATCATTTATCATTGCTCTGTCCATAATATTTGAAGTTTGCCAACTGGAAGCATTAGGACCCTGACATACCTCACAACTATCTACAATGGGATTGGGTACGAGAACTGACAACACTACGAGTGTGAAAAAAATTGACGAGACATATTCACTGCAGCAACTGAAAGCAACGAAAACCGCACCTCGACAACAACGCAGCAACCTAATACTGACCGGCAAAAACGACAACATAACAGAGAAAAGGAATGGAAACTAGTAGAATGCTTTGCACCCCAAGAATGAGGAATTTTCGACTTGGCTATAGTCATGTGACTTATCACGCGACATTTTAAACATTACTGACGTGACGATGATAACGGCGACAGGTTTAAAAACTATTCATTTTTACTTATTACCAATCACGTGACGTGCTAAATACTTAGTCATGTGACTTGTTTCTAATCACGTGACTGGCGTAGATTTGAATCGACTATTTTGATGCCGGATTTTCCAATCACGTGACTTGTTAAATACCAAGTCATGTGACTTGTTGCTAATCACGTGACTATTTTTATCTGATTTTTCAGGTTTGGAGAGTTGGTTTCATGGGACCAGTAAACAGTCAAAAGGACAACGTCCACCTGGTGTTACGCATGTTCAAGGAAGGGCTTGATAAGTTCTCGGGAAGATCGATATCTCGTCTGTAAGTCTGTATTCAACGCAAACTAATCCCTTCCCACCACTAGGTAGGGTCACGTGATCATGTTTCCGCCGTCTTGGAAAGAAAAAAAAAAAATCAATGCTTTTTCGCTGTTGTATCATGATCACAGCGTGGGACAATCACAACAGAGTTAGGCTCCAAACTAGGTGAAAGCCAAAAGATCGAATTAGAATTTAGTAGCTGATTTTTGAGGAGGGAGGAAAACCGGAGAACCCGGAGAAAAACCCTCGAAGCACAGGAGAGAACCAACAAACAACTCTACTCAAATACGACATCGAGCTCGGGCAGCATTAGTGACATGCGGCGCATTAGCAGCGCACACCACCGGTGCAAGATAAACTGTGGAATCTCTGATGAGATGACAGTGTTGTGGTTTAATGGCAGCAAGTGTAGATGTGAGTGGAGTTATACCCCATTCACACCTAAACGTGTTTAGTTAAACTATGTTTTCATTAGGAAAAAAATTGAGAAACTAGAAACCTACAATATAATAAAACTTTCTGAAATATTATCAGAGCAAGACAAAGGATAGCTTACATGCATTATTTCACCAAATATTGTGCAGTGTTCGTAGATAGTTTTCCAAACCTGTTTAGTTAAACCACTTTAAAACATGTTTAAGCCTTGGTGTGAATGGGGTATAAGTGTTTCTTTTGGTGTTTCGACGGTTTTCTTCGGTCATCAAATTTTGTTTTCCATCTTTGATTTGTAATTAGAATCAGAAGAGAAGGAGTCACTCTGTAGAAATGCCGCTGATACTGAACTAGAACTGTTTATTCTCAAACGAAGAAAGAACTGGAATACATAAAAATACTTATCTATGACAATAGATCTTTCCAGAATTATTTGCTTCGGAGAGACCACGAAATAAACAAAAGCTTTGAATCGAGGTTAGAGTTGATAAAACAGATATAGAACTGGTATAATTTAGTTTATACCAATAATTTTTTTTTTTTTTTAAATTTTTAATTAATTAATTTTTATTTATTTTTAAATCTTAACATGGAAACATTGTTTCGTGGTCACTCGAGAGAGTTCGGGAAAGGTCTATTCGTTTTACTTTGCTGTTTACAACGGAAACTGATCACGTGCCCTTTTTACCATCTGTCAATGATTTCCCATTCACGCTAAGCATACAATAGCATCACAAAAACTTATAAACTTAATAACATTATATACATCAGGCATAAATAACTTATCACAATTCCTAAATTATTTCACTCATAACAAAAAAGTGCGACGGATAACGTTGATAGGACGAGGATATTATATTAAAAATATGGCCAAACCTTGTGTGTCTCTTAAAGCTAGGGTGTGATTTTTGAGCTTAATCATATCGTTTTGCTTAGGTGTGAATTCATTTGCACCGATACAGAAATATTTAATAACAGTGAATTTTCTTTATCACATTCAATTTCTGCATTGATAGTAAATAGTCTCTTTCACAGCTCTTTTGCGCCATCTTGGAAGGTAACCGTTCATCAAAGCGAGAACAACAGTGACTCTTTGGTCATCGCTAACTCAGGTCCCATTTGGGTCCAAATTATCCACTTTTACTACCTTTAAAATTTAAAATGCTTTTACGAGTTCTTTCGAGTTATGTTTTTATTGCTCTTGAATTAATATTTAAAATAACAAGCTAGAAGTGCAAACCATTTTGGTGTCTCGTCGTCGTCGTCGTCGTCGTCGTCGTCGTCGTCGTCGTCGTCTTCTTCTTCTTCTTCTTCTTCTTCTTCTTTTTCTTCTTCTTAATTTGCACTTAGATCAGCCCAGAGGTTGGTTATTTCAGGGTTCTAACATTAAGTTAGAGGTTCTTTAAAAAGAACACGATGTAATTCATGCTCGTTTTCATGTTTTGGACTGGTTGACGAGCAAATCTCCTTCAACTCTTTGTGTGCATGTTCCAAAATACCTTAAAACAACCTCACAATAAAGTGCTTTAGGATAATTTTCTGATTTCTCCTTACAGAGTTCAACTGTACCTTTGATGCTGATACATGCGGGTTTACCCAAAGACGAAATGATCAATTT